CCCTTCTTTTAAGAGAATCTCCCCCCATTTCCCCTTTTTTTGGAGAACCTTCCTCCATTTTTCCTTTTTTATATCATCCTCCATTTTCTCTAGGGAAAATTATTTCGTTAATTTGAATGTTTTTTTTTTGATAGAAAGATTGTAAGGGAACCCCCTACAGCATAATTGGTGCAACAAACCCAAATTGCAAGTACCAAGCCTTGAACCTGGGTGGGTGGGAAGGCATCAGCCCCTTCCCACCACTAGGCTATGCCTTAGTCTGCTCGTAGTTAATTTGAATGTTAATTTGAATGTTGGGGAAATATGGCGGCTTGATGTGGGTCCGAGCGCGTAGTTCTAGGGGAAGTCCTATCTGCCACTCGTTCCGGCAGACTATCGGCTAGACGCACGCTACGAGGGAGGCAAGCGCTTTGGGGTGGGTAAGCCCATTTTTACCATAGCGTAGTGCACTATTTAAACCAGTTTTGGGAACCTTCTAGAACCTTCCTCCATTTTGGATTTTTTTCCCTTTTCTATAGTTATCCTTTCTTTCTACAGTTTTTTCTTTAATGTGTTTTGGGTTTTATCGCTCATTTTTTCTTTTTCCTTTTTGTTTTTGTCTTTGTTTTTTTCTTTTCTATTTTCTACTTCTTTTTTAAAACATTCAAATTTTTTATTTCATAAAAATGTTTGCGTTTTCAAGAAACGTTCTCAAATTTGTAAAAATGTTATTGTTTTCAAATTTTGTTCAAAGTTTCCTTTTACAAAAAGATGTTCACATATCGAAAAAATTGCCTTTTCCCAAATGTTGTTAGGAGTTTTAAGAAATCTTGCCATTTTCAAAATTGTTTATGTTTAAAAAATTAATCATATTCTTAAAAAATTGGAATTATCAAATTTTATTCTCATATGTAAAAATTGTCTGTGATTTTAAAATTTGTTCGAGCTTTTAGAAATTGTTCAGGTTTTTCAAAAACAATTCTAAAAATGATATAATCATAGTAAAATTTTCACATTTTTATTTTATTTGGAAATTGCGTTTTCAAAAATTATTCGGCATTTTAAAATTGTCAATACAGCAGCTACTGGGTCCACGAGTCAACACAGCTGCTAGTGGGTTTGGACATGGCCAAGCCGAGTATAGCACATCATTGATTGTGGAGCGTGATGATCAACCGTTTCGTTTCATTTCATTTCATTTCATAGGTGCGTGTGCTAACACGCTGGGTGTAACACAACAGGTGCACAAGTCGTCGACGGACGCGGCGTCGTCGCTGCTGGTGACGGCGCTGAACGAGGGGCGCGACGTGATCCTGGACGGCACGCTCTCCTGGGAGCCCTTCGTGGAGCAGACCATCGCCATGGCCCGGGCCGTGCACTCCCAGCGCCACCGCATGGGCGTGGGCTACAAGGTGGACGAGGACGGCACCATCACCGAGAACTACTGGGAGCCCGTCCCCAACGACCAGGACTTTGTCGCCGCCAACAGGGACCGGAAACCGTACCGGATCGAGGTCGTCGGCGTCGTCTGCGACGCCTACCTCGCCGTCGCCAGAGGGATCAGGTACCACACCGTCACCTTTTTATCCGCGTCGTTTGATTGTGTGTGTGGGCGTGTGTGCGCAAGTGTTGACAGTGAGTGAGATGCTTGTTCTGATGTTCTCTGCATTGCAGGAGAGCGATCATGACGGGGAGGGCGGTGAGGGTGAACTCGCAGCTCACGTCGCACAAGAGATTCGCGGCGGCGTTCCAGAAGTACTGCCAGCTTGTGGACGGGGCCAAGCTCTACAGCTCCAACTCCTTGGGCTCTCCACAGGTTCTCACTTTTATTACTGATCAACTACGTACTCAGGACAATCTAAGTTCATCTTAATTTCTACGTACTCAGCTAGTTGTTAATCAGCTGGGCACGAATTTCTTGTCTTAGCTGATCGCGTGGAAGGGCGACATCAACGGCAGCCTGCTGGTGGAGCCGCGCGAGATCGACTGCCTGGACAAGGTGAGCAACCTCAACGAGGGCGCCACCTCCCTGCACGACCTCTACCCCGGCGGCGCCACCACCTGCGGCTCCCGCTCCATCTGGGACGACATGATCGTCGCGCCGTCCCGCGCCACCGTCCAGCGAGAGATCCGGGAGGCCATCCGCTCCGTGGAGCCGACGGCAACGCCGACCGCCTTGTAGCATCCATGATCCATCCATGTTGTCATGCATGTTGATGTTGCGCGCGCACTGCTGGCCGGGTGTTCTTGAGCCTTAAAAATGATCGCGGCCACGGTTTTGACGCGGCGGACCGAGGCGAATTGGGGCAACTCAAGTTGCTGTGTGTGGTTTTTTTGTGGTATAGTGGTCGTTGGTACATACACCAATGTCTGCAGCTAGCAGTTCAGATGAAATGTATGTTGCGATCGACATCCATTTGAGAGTAAATAAATCTTGTAACTAATTACCTGAATAATAATATTTCTATATACAAAAGTCCAACTTTTAATAATATTTTAGTCCTTGTGTTTGCATAAATAATTTTTTTCTAAGTTGACGAAGTAGATCTATCAGATGATGGAAACCAACTTTTTACTAAACCATGGATAAATAACATGACATGCGAAAGCTTGCAAAGGAAGAAAATGATGAAAACTGAAAATATGAGAAAGGGAAACGTACCTATTAGAAGTAAAAGAAAAGATAGTAAAAATAGGTGATAATACAACTCTACATAGCCTTTCTGCCAAGACATAAGAGGCAAAACTGATCACAAGTGTCGGTTTTCGCCCGATTTTCATTAATTAACTGGATGATTCTCTTCTTCTTAATTAATCGATGAGACAAATCTTTCACCTATGTTTCAAAACAAATTAATCACAGGTGAGAGTTCAACATTGTGGTGGAATGCAGAAGATGCTTGAGATGGACAAGAGTGTTATAGCCTGGTGTGACATGGAGAGCAGATAAAGACTTCTTGCCACATATAACAAAAAAAAAAACTCGAGATACGAACCAACTTGTGGTTGGATGGTTAGAGGGACACTGGTATCTTTAGTCCACCAGAGTTCAAATCCTGATGCTCGCATTATTCCTGAATTTATTTTAGGATTTTCGGCAAATGCGCTTTCAGTGGGAGGAAACGTTCCTGACGCCTACGCTGACTTCTCGGAGTTGTTCATAGGGGTGGGGTGTGCGTGTGTACCTTTATAAGGGTGAGTGTATGCGTATATGTATGAGCGCTTGCGTTTGTACTGTGTTTAAAAAAACTCGAGATGTAAATTTTCTCATGTGCAAGGATCACAGTTCACAACTAATTAAGGCCATACAGCTACAGTGGTGGCTGATGCCATTTCATGCCCGTTTTTTTTCTTTTAAAGCAATTTTCATGCCCCTTGTCGCTTCCTGCTGTTTGTGGGAAGAAGTTTATGGGGTCGCACATTATTGCAATCATTTTCAACTTTTTAGGGTGGTCCATGGACATGTTTGGCAAGATTTTGCAGAGCCAGGTGAGAGTGAGACTTGTGATAGCAGGTGGATGTGGGCTACCAGATCTTGGCATCTTTCCCATGTATCGTTTGTCAATGGTGTTTATGCCTTTTTTTCCATGGCATCTTTCCTCCATGTATCGTTGTCAATAGTGTTTATGCTCTTTTTGTCATGATATAATTGGCAAACCTTAGAAAATGCTATTTGCTCATAGCAGAAAAAACAAAACTTAGAAAATACTGGTCTGGCTTGCAATTTTTGGCCATCTCAATAAACTCACCCATTGTATAGTTATGTGTTGTTTTTGTTTTTTTAGCAGTCCCCATTGTGTAGTTAGTTAGGCCTCCAAGTTAGGCTCGGTTCAGATCTGAGGCGCCTAAGCGAGACATGGGAAACCTTAGAAAATGCTATTTGCTCGTAGCAAATAATTTTTTTTTAGAAAATACTGGTTTGGCTTGCAATTCTGGGCCATCCCAATAAACTCACCCATTCTGCAGTTAGTTTTTGTTTTATTAGCAGTACCTATCGTGTAGTTAGTAAGGCCTTTCCAAGTTATGTCTCCTTTATAGAGAGACGTAACGAACCCTCGCGTCAAAGGCAGCACGAGATAGGCAGGCCTAGGTGCGCTGGAGGCCACAACCTCGTTTTTTTATACTTCCAAATATTCTAAACAAAATATATTACAAAAACATTTTACACAAAACATTTGGAAAAAATGGTAACCAAGGTTTTGAAAAATGTCAAATGTGTATTGATAAAATATTTCTTGTGTATACAAAAAATATACAATATGTGAGAAAATAGTTGATCATGTACTTTAAAATGTTAATCAAGCATTTTAAACTATATTAACAATAATTTGAATATCTTAATCAATTATTTAAATATTGTTAAATGTGTATAAAAAATTTGTTGAATATGTATTAGAAAAATATTATCTTGCATTTGAAAAATGTTAATCAAGCATTAAAAATGTTAAATATGTATATAAAAAACGTTTACTACATATTACAAAATGGGTAATCATGTATTTCAAAAATGTCAATCAAGAATTTAAAAATGGTAAACGTGTATAAAAATGCTGATGATGTATTAAAAAATGTTAATCTTGTACCTAAAAAATGTTAATTAAGCATTTGAAAAAAAATTGTGTATATTGTGTAGTTTTTTTTGAGTTGTATATTGTGTAGTTAGTTAGGCTCGGTTCAGATCTGGGCCGCCTAAGCGAGACATAGGGAACCTTAGAAAATGCTATTTGCTCGTAGCAAAGAAAAAAACTTATAAAATACTGGTTTGGCTTGCAATTCTGGGCCATCCCAATAAACTCACCCATTCTGTAGTTAGTTTCTGGTTTGTTTTTTCCGAGCAGTACCCATTGTGTAGTTAGTTAGGCCTTTCCAAGTTAGGTTCGGTTCAGATGTGGGATGCCCCAATGGAAAATCCCACTCCCCGCTCGTTGCGGCAAGCTGTCGCCACTTCACACGGATCCGGCTTGTCTGCTCTCTTCTCATGTTTTCATCCGTGCTCCCACTTTATTTTATGGCTGTTTTTTTTCCTTTCTAATTTAATCATCTTCCCTTTTGATTTTAAGAAGGTGGGGCCGGGTTTTATTTTGTTCCAATCAAATCAAGCCACGTACATGGGAGCATGGATGGGCGCACGCGTGGGGAGCAGACAAGTCTCGTCCGCTTCGCACAGGGAAGGTGCGAGCGAGCGGCCGAGTGGGCCGGCCCGTTTTAGCATTTCAGCACACACCGGTTTATGTGAACCTTCTATAATGTTTCCAGCCGGGTTTTTCTGGTTTTAGGAACCTTCTAGAAGGTTCCTGAACCGGCTTTTTCTTTTTTGTTTTCCTTTTTTCTATTTCTCTTCTTTTTCGTTTTTGTTTTCTTTTTTCTGTTTCTTTTTTGTTTTCCTTTTTTTCCTTTTCAAGTTTATTTACAAAAAAATTCAAATTTCAAAAAATATTCTTATATTTCAGATTTTGTTCACAAATTCAAAAAATATTCTTTTTTAAAAAAATAGAAATTCAAAAAAAGTTCCCGGTTTCAAAAAATTTGTTCAGAATTTCCAAAAAATGTTCCTGTTTTTCAAATTTTCTTCACAAATTCAAAAAATGTTCATGGTTTTAATAATTTGTTCGGAATTTAAAAATGTTCCCTTTTTCATTTGATAAAGTGTTCGGGATTCAAAAAATGTCCCCATTCTCAAAAACTGTTCACAAATTTCAGAAAAATGTTCATGTTTTCAAAACAATTTTCATAATTTAAAAAAAGTTCGTATATACAAAAACTTAATTTTTGTTTTATTTTTTGAAAAATGTTCGGATTTCAAAATTTGTTCACGTTGTTAATTTTTTGTTCGTGTTATGTTTTTTTTCCTTTTTCCTAAAAAAGTGTTTGGTGTTTCTAAATTTGTTCATGTTTTGAAAAAATCTTCCCAATTGTCAAAAAGTGTTTGCCGTTTGTAAATAATGTTCAGGACTTTTAAAATTGTTCACGGTTGCTTTATGTTTTTTGAAATATGTTCAAAAATTATAAATTTTGGTCAAGTTGAAAATAAATATTTTCCTTTGCAAAAATAGGAACCTCAAAATTGTTCATAATTTCCAAGAAATAGTGGAAAAAATGAATAAATGTTTCAAATCTGCTTCCATTGTCTTTTTTTAGACCATCCGACTCCATTATCTGTTCTTAAACGTGTGTTCTAAGCATTTGTTAAATGCCGTCATGAGCTCTAGTGGCTAGCTGGATGCAGGTTAAAGTGCCTTATCGCGTGTTCGAGTCCCACAGGCACCTCTTTTTCTCGGGGGTTTTGCGTCGTGTTGTATTGCGTTCAACTTCGGTTGTACTCGGTCGGCCCAGTCGTCGACCCCCCTGTGCGGCGCGCGCTCCATTTTGCCGCAATATGCGGCGTATAGGAGGTCCCTGCCCTAGTGTCTCGTTTTTAGCGAGAAATAGGGAACCCTCGCGTCAAAGGCAGCGCGAGATGGGTCGGCCCAGGTATGTTGGAGGCCACAACCTCGGTTTTTCTTGTTTCTTTTTTACTTTTGTTTATACATCCAAGTATTCTAAATAAAACATATTATAAAAAACACTTTAATAAAATATTTGCAAAAATGGCGAGCAAGGTTCACCTCTTTTTCTCGGGGTTTTTGCGCCATGTTGTATTGCGTTCAACTTTGGT